AGAGTCTGTAATTGACCTACATGAATAAAGATATATTGATTTTTTTTTAATTTAATTCAAAATTGGAGTGTCTGTTTTATAATATTGAAATAATCGTTTTTTTACTACATACATATGAATATAAATACGGTACATACACCAAACTAATTTATTTTACAATTTTTGTTTATCTATCTGTTTGTTCCGGCTAATCTCTAAAATGTCTGGACCGATTTTCACGGGAATTTTATTAGCAGGTAGCTGATGTAATAAGGAGTAACTTAGGCTATTTTTATTTTAGAAAAATAATGTTAAATTCCACGCGGACAAAATCTCGGGTACAGCTAGTATATAATATATATAAACACACATAAAATAAACTTAAGGCTATAAATGTTATAATAGTTCAGGCGCGCGGTGAGTTCAGCAGATAATATCCACACATAGATATACACACGTTTCTAAGTATTACTTATCACTAAACTCGTACTTCACGATGTATATAATATTGATTAAATTGTAAATGCAGACAGCTCATTAAACTGATAACGTACACAAACATGGATCCACTGATTATCATTTGTTTTGTAAACATATCATTTTATAGCCGCAATTACAAACAAATATATTGAATTTAAAAACTCACATGTTAAAAAATATAACCTATTTATTCAAAGACTAGCGATACCAGCGACTTCGTCCGCGTGGAATTAAACTTTATTATTCTTATACAGGCTGTCCCAAAAGTCGAGAATAAACCGAAAGCAGGACATAAATTCATCAGAGCTATCAGAAAAATTAAAGTTTATAAAAATACCACGTCGTAAACACCCTTGTTATTTTGTAAAACAGTATACGTGTTATATACTAGCTGTGCCTACGACTTCGTCCGCGTGAAATTTAACTTTATTCTTCTAAAATAAAAGTAGCCTAAGTTACTACTTATTACATCAGCTACCGACCACGGCAATGTACCTATCCCGCCTACACTACGCTACCAAGGAACAGGACATTGTTGACTACATCCGGACTAAAAGTCCCGTCAAAATCGGTCCAGCCATTTCAGAGATTGGCGGCGGTTCTCGAGTTTTCGTCAGCGACCATAGAGACTTTTAACGCACATATATGCAATTCATTTATATATATATAAAAGGTCAGATTAATACTTTTAGTCTTTCATTTATATATATGTAGAAGATTAATACTTTTGGTCTTGAATGGTGTAGCCACTCATCACGAAATTAGCCATATGAGTAGAACTTGACATGGAAGAACACATCTTATCTTATCGCATCATAATTTGCAAACAGCACTTGTTGTCTTTGTATACAAACACTAGATTCAATCACAGATAACTCTGTTATTTTATCCACGTTTACTTTACTTAATGTAAACATCTAATGTAGGACTAACAGACTTGAGAACTAGAAGCGAGGTAGAATCCCTGGAGAATTCTTCTCACACTCAAAATGTCAAAAAATTGAAGGATTATTCTGTTATCTTGAAACACTCACTTATCGTGGACGTGTAGTGGAATCAGATTTAATTTTTTTCGGACTACTCTAATGCTGTTGACCCCAGTTTCAGCCTTTGCAGCTTCACTAGACCTTAGAGGGCGAGTGCAGATGGCACTCCAAATCCGCGGAAGGACTTATGGAGCGGCTGAAGGCCAACTCCTGCCTGACGGATACGACTCTAGTCTGAGAGCACCGCTAGGGGTTCGAACCTCGGCTCAGGCCGTCGTAATATCGATCTCCGTTTGAATTGGACGGGGGATCGGTCGGAGGGGTATCAAATGTGATTTAATAGCCTAGATATTTAAATTCAGTCAACAAATTTAATCTACATATAATTTTAGGCGCCATCTGTATACCGTTATCAGTATTAATAAGAATGCTGCGTCTGTTTCATTATAAAGATGAAATTTCTCTTCCTCACTCCCACACATGTCATATGAGCCTTTTAAGCATATAAAGCAGTTTACAGAAGAAGGATAACTAGAAACAAAACTATTTGCAATAAACCTCTTTGTATAAAACAAAATAAGAATTTTTATTTTACAGTTTAAAACTTTAAGTACAATTTACTGAAAAAAATGCAGTTAATAAGTACTTAACGCAAATATATAATAATATATCAATATAATACGTTGTTATCTTATCTATGGTACTAGCGAGAAGGGGATTGTTACTGATGTGGACGGATGACCCCATTCCTAGCAATGTACCATGTCATGTTCAGCTTTACCTCCACGCGGTTCCCCCTGGAAATCATCGTGATAAATTGCTGGTGAATTTGCCACGTTGTGTGAACTGACCAGACTTCGTGGTCATCTCAGCATGCTCTACTGGTGCCCCGCCAGCGTATACCATTGGTACAGGCGGGTGCATCATTCCAGACCATACGGACCAGGAGTAATGTGACACTGAGGGTGACGTAGGCAGGCGCAAGGCGTTTGTTCCACCACCTTCATGAAGGAGGAGTACTGGCCAATGGGGATGGTACTATATATCGGCGCTACTGTAGCAGTTTGCCGTAAAATTTATAGCTAGCTATAGTTGTACACGCGACTTCGTCGGCGTGGTATAAAAATATCTAGAATATAACAATAATAAGCAAAACGTGTCAAAATGAATTACACGATGTTAATAATCTCATTACAATTCACACAGCGCCATCTAGACAAAAGCTAGCTAAAGCTTGTGTTATGGGTACTAGACAACTGATATAAATACATACATAATTTTAGTAAGTATATTAATTTGGCGAGACAGACAGACAGACAGATATACTTTCCCATGTATAATATTAGTAAGTATATTATTATTTATTACTCATTAATAATGATTATGTAAACCAAAGGATTGCTCGCAATATTATAATAATTGCAGAAATGTAATAGAAAAAACGAGTCGCCGAGGTTGAATTAATTTCTCGAGGTCGAAGTCCATTTATAGAATTCGAGGTGAGTGGATCCAAAGTCCACCTATATACTCACCAACTACCTGTGACACATCCTTAACTTGTAAATTACTAACTAACACAACAATATTCACATTAGCACAGATATCGTAATACTACTATTCTACTATACCAGTTTTTTTTAAGTCAGTTTCTATCGAGGCCCCGTTGACACTATTTGGTTTTTGTAATTTAAGAGCTGTGCCCTTAAAGTCCAGCCACCTTCCACAATTTTCTATCAGTCTTTTTAGCTACTAGCTAGTGTCTACTTACTTTACAAAATTAGGATTCAGTTCATAAAATGTTTTATGGCACAATAGTTCTACATACAGACGGAATCCTTTGAAGATTGCATTTTTTTTTTTCTGAACTCAATATTGTGTTTTTTATATCTTCGCCGATTGTTCAGTCTCTTCTGTCATCAGGTTTACAAAAGCATAATATAATTATTTATTCTTATATTACCTTACCGTACACAGTTATAAAAAACAGTTGCAATCTCACGTAATGTTTAAAAAATACATATATTTCAATTTTTTATTATTAATATTTTCTTTTTTCTCGTTTAATCCTTACCACTTAGTTGAAATGATATCAAATTATACTGTGAACTATTTACATTATGTTTATTATACACACACCACACACACAGTCACCAATTATATTGCTCTTTTTATTTTATATTTATTTTAATTATTATTTTCACGTACCCTCAAATGGGTTTAAGTTGAAAATCAGTGTTTTGTTCCCTGAACAACGTTCCACGCTGAGCTTCGACCTGTTTGTATTGCTACAGATCACACATAATAACACAATTGTATAAATCTTATGTCGTATTATGTATTGTCTATTCTTATGAACATGTTCTGTGTGATTAGTAACAGACAAATAAACGATATATCTATCTATCTCTCTACCTAAGTAAGGTGTTCTCCCTGGCCGAGGCCAGTTAAAATTATAATTAATCAGTACATTTCACTTGTTTAGCATTTAATTATAATGAATGATAATTTGAATTATTAAGATGCCAATAAATAATTAAGATATTATTATTTTTGTCTATTAATTATATATTTTATTAAATTATTTTAAGGACTTTTATTGATATATTCCATAACCGTGCTATGCATACTTGATTTTAACTATAATTATATTTTTTTTTATGGATGATTATGGAATGGTGCACCCGCCTGCGCTAACGGTTTACGCTGGCGAGCCAGTGGAGGATGATAAGATGAGCATGAGGTCAGTTAGTTAGCCCATAGTGACAAATTTACAAATTTATCACTATGGTTTCTCGACAACCAACCATCAACCTGACATGGTACACAATGGGGTAATCAGTTTACATTACTAACAATCCCCTTCTTCTCTATATTGACAGCCCCGGTGGTCTAGTGGTTTAGCACACCGCTTTACTATCCGATGTTCGTGGGTTCGATTCCTCGCACGGTACAAACATTTGTATTCATGAGTATGATTGTATTGGTCTGGGTATTTTCTATGTGTAATATTTATTTATAAAAAAAATGTATCCATGTATTTATTTCTGTTGTCTAATACCCATAACACAAGCTTTGCTAGATGGCGCTGTGTGAATTGTCCTGAAATTCTTTTTTTTTTCTCAGCTTTTGCTGGTTTATTATAATTATTATTATAAATATTATATTACATTTACATACAATTATAGAAATTTACTTCTGTGTCTCGTGTATCAAGACGGTCATATTGTACTAATAAAATTTTCTGGGATTTAATTATTACTTAATAATTAAATAAATATTTATAAATAAAAAGAATCAAATATAATCACATCATATAATTATTCCAACAAATTTCACTTTTCTTATATACAACAATTTAACATAAAAACATATGTTTTACTTGTAATTTACAATATTAATTAAATATTACAACCTAGCATGTTTCTTCTAACATATTCTACACGCGGCCCCGCCTGGTCCTGTAACTCTGTGGTCTAAAGATGGTCTCTATGATGGTATCTAGGTACCAAAGATGAGGTGTTCATTTCATAACTATGCTATTGATGTTACTTATATAGTTGTATAGATATCACTAATGCTTCAGCATTTTAGATGACATTGCATAAGTCTTCGGTCTTTTAATTTTTAGAAATATATACATGAGCTTATTCTCACGGCTATATTTCTAAAATACTCAAATACGGGATATAAAAGTATATTTTTTACACCTATCTATATAACAATAGCTATACTTAATGTCAATAATGAGAAAGTCACAATAACTACATGTAACAGCCACATCACGTCACTTTCCTCTCCTTGAACAGTAGTGGTAGTCCGCCTTTAACGTTCTGAATGATGCCAGAGGCCGCGTCCACTTCTAGTTTCCGCTTAGTCTCTGGCGCTGGTGACACCGTGAACCGCGACAGTATGGCTGCCAGACCAGCCAGAGACTGCATCAGACCCAGCCGCTCACCTGCAATAATAAAAAGTATAAGGAATGTGCTAAAATTCTTTGATTTTTCTACTATCATTTCAATAGAGTATAGTAATTATCTGTACCAAATAGTCAGTTGCTTCTTTATACTCTGTAATTTCTCTGCCGTATCTCTCTTCAAACTAGAACTTGTATGTTTTTGTTCAAAGAAAAAAAAATATTTTTGATATTTTACTATTTTGTTAATTGGAAACTGAAATGTTAAAACTTACCGATACAAGCACGGGGTCCCGCTCCGAATGGCATGTAGACATATTTGTTGATATTGCCGACTTCCTCTGGGCTAAATCTCTCCGGCCGGAATTCTTCAGGTTTATCAAAATATTGGGGATCCATCTGTAGTGCCTGAATTGGTATAAATATTCTCACACCTCGGTCCAGCGTCGTGTTTAGCTCGGGCACGGGAGTTGTACCGATGCATTCTCTCATCAAGAACCCTAGCGATGGGAACATTCTCATGCCTTCTTTGAATGTCCAATCTAAATAAGTCATTTCTTTAACGGCGTCATAGCTCAGTTTGTTGTTGTGTTTAGCGAGTACTTTATCAATATTGTCTTGAACCTTTTGCTGTATTTCAGGATTATGTGCAAGCTGGTGTAATGTGAAACTTGTAGCGGACGATGAAGTTTCGAAGCCCGCAGCGAAAAATACAAAAATTTGTGCGGCCATAATGATGTCGTCCAACTCTAGGGTCGCCGTGTCGGGGGTTCCGTCTTCTTTCTTGCGCTCAATTGATTCGCCAACTATTAATCCCTTTTTTCTACATTCAAGCAACAAGTCGACGAAATCATTTTTACCTGCGGGTTCATAATTTCTCTCCTTCAGAATTTGTTTAGTTAAATGCAACATATCATGTTCAATTCTCTGTAATATGTTGAAGTGTCTGCCGATGCTAGGGAAAGCGGATTTCATTAGTAAAACTAAGATGTCCTTTAAATTAGGTTGAAATATTTTGGTTCCTAGTTTCCTGAATGCAGAGTCTTCCTCGTTGAGCGAGTCTGCGTCGAGCCCGAAGCCGCAGGCGCCGATGAAGTCGGTGGTGTAGCGCGCCATGAGGTCACGTGCGTCGATGGTGCGGCTGGCAGCAGCGGCGGAGAGGGCACGCGCCTGCAGCTTCTCTGCGCGCTCCACGATCAGCGGGAACATGGCCTTCAACTTGCCGCTGGTGAACGCAGGCGTCAGGCGCTGTCGCAGCAGCCTCCACATGTCACCGTCCGCGAAGAACAAATTGCGCATCATGGGTTCGAATACCTTCCTCTGGGAATTGAGACCACGTGGGTAATAGTGCAAGAAATCTGTGATAAGAATACGTTTTATCAGTTCAGGATCTCTGACCACCAGCTCCGGTCTTACCGCTCTGTAAAAGCCCACGGCTTTCTCATTGGGATATTTCCAATAGGCTTCGGTTGCGAGTTCGGTCATACTTTTCTTTACCAAAAAATTTCTCAGGTTGGTACCGAAGAGCGGTACGGGCTTGTCATTTTTGATGCCCTTAGTTTCCCAATATTTGAAAGACTTTATGCTGTAATAGTAAAACAGCGCGAGGCTGACTAGTACGATTACTATGCTGATCATGTTTACGTGCGAGTGGGCCGCGGTCACACTGCGAATGTGGACCAACTGCCCTATCGCCACTGTTATATAGTTTTTCATCTCCTGCTGATATCTACGTTTCTATGTATGCGTAGTGCAGATATTATTTTCACTTATTTTTATGTTTATGTTTATGCTAATCGTAGATATATTATTTTTACTGAGATGTGAAATTAATGACCTGAAAAAAACATACGCGTTATCTCCCAATGTGATGCTTTTTTGCAGATTAGTTATAAAGTTTTTATGTAATAATTAGCTATAATTATAGCAAAAAATATATACAAGCTGTTTACAAGTCTATAGGGCATGCTTCAGAGGCCAGTTTTGTTTATATTAGTTGTTTATATTTTTCAATTCGTTGAACGGGAGTGAAGCCTTATACTGGACGTTTTGGAATTAATTTGAAGTTATGAAATAAGTGTTTTTTTTTTATTAATAATAGATAACATAGAGGAATTAGCTCCAGAATAAGGCCATGGCTCTAACCCAATTTTTTTATTGTGTGCGTAGTGTTGTTGTAAAGCATTGAATAAAATATTTATCTTTCTTTCTTTCTTTCTTTTCAGTACGAGACCAGTTGAAGTCCTAACTTAAACCATTTAAAAACAAATCGCAATCAGACTTCAGGAATATTGTTGACATTTGGGTCACTGATTCTGGATATTAGAAAATTTGTTGGACACAGCAATTAGGAATAAATAAAATATCAAAGATTATCCCCTTTTCTGTTCATATTGTTACTATCAAAAATAATAATATGAACAGAAAAAGGTCTTTGATATTTTATTTATTCCTATATGTAAATTGTAACTTACTAATGTTTCTAAAAAAAAAAAATAGTAACTTATTAATGTTTCTCTGGCACCAAATAATATTCAGTAATTATTATTTCTTCAACCCTGAAAAAAAAATTGTCATTTTGTAAACATATTATTTTTAAATTGTCTAATAAATATAATAATTCTATTATTACTCTCTATCCTACAAGTTACAAGCTAGGACTATATTTTTAGTATATATATACATATATATCAAAATATCTGAGTACAGACCTTGACATGTGTCGACTAGCACATGTCGGAGCTTTCTTACATAATTTGCTTTGGAACATTTTAATAATTGTACGTTAATAAAATGTTTATTATTAAGTTAAGTAACTCCATATTTATTTTATTTATTTATTAAATTATACAATTTATTTTTATATTTAATATATATGTCATTATATTAGTCGTCAGATATATAATGACTTATAAATCTTATTTGAATAATAAAGTTTATAACATTTATATTTTAACTTCAAACTCGTGCATTTATTTAAGTGTAAAATATATAAATGTTTTCGAAAGTGCCACAATTACAATACAGACCTAATTATATATATGTATCGAAGTAGTTATGCATAATATGCAAAATAATGTCTGTATGTATGAATCGATGGGAAGTAAATTATTATTAAGTATGAAATATATTAGAATCACCTTTGCAATTCTAAATTATAACTTGTCCTGACTGATCTACCAACACGTAGACTTATAATTAATACTTAAAATGAATTATAGAGGTATTTTATTAAGTAAATATACACACAGCAAAGATTATATAAACTCCCGCGGATGCACTGTACAACAATGACGTGCGCGCGGTATGACGTCACGGTAAAAACGTATATAACATTACTAACGATTGCATCACTTCATCAGTTTTATCACCATCATAATAACACATTTTTACTCAAGGTTGATTTCTATATAAGACTATGTTATATTATTCAACGGAAACGGGAAATTCAAAGCATTTTATGAGCTTGAAGCATAGAACGTAGCGAGAGGAAGTTGGAATGGTTTATATTTTGTAATAAGAATTAGCCAGAACTATTTTTTTTTATTAATTTTATTTAATTTAAATTATTAACACGAATAAGTTTATGGTAAATAAAGGTATTTGCCTCTCTCGATGTTTCAACCAGGTTGCACTAGCCGTGGTTACGAGCAACCCAGTCGAAACGTCGATTGATCTTTATTTGCCATAAAATTATTTGTGTCAAGAACCGGTTAATAATTTAAATAATGTATATTAAACACGAAAGTTTAAAAATAACTATTAATTTTATTTGTTTCTCTGTTGCCTTCTGTTTAATAATTCTTTGGATGATAATATTAGCTAATGTCGTACCCAGAATTATTTACATATCGCCATCTTGGGTGAACTGCTCAGCTTCTTCTTTTGATCATTTCTCTTCAGCTCTGCTTAGTTTAAGACCTAGTCTCATCTGCTACTTTGGTTTTTTACAACAAATGTTTGTATCATGCGAGACTCGAATCCACCGACACTGGAGAAAGCAATGTGTTAAACCTACACCAGAGAGAGGAAAGGGGATTATTAGTGATATGGACTGATGATCCTATTGCTAGCAATGTACCATGTCAGATTGACTTCCACGCGGTTCCCTCTGGAAACCATCGTGATAAACTCTTGTTGAATTTGTCACGATGGGCTAACTGGCCTGACCTCATGCTCATCTTATATCCTCCACTGGTGCCCCGCCAGCGTAAACCGTTAGCGCAGGCGGGTGCACCATTACATTTTGAAGTGAAACTGGTTTCATGTTCCATGGAGAAGAACAGAGCTGGCCAAACAGACTCCAATTTCTCTGGCGTTGAGTCTACTCAACGGTGTAGTTAGTCGCTTTCCAGATCTAGACATATTTACTTGTAATTTGCTGGAGTTTCGTAGGATGGCAGTAGATTATTTATGTAGTGTGGAAAATTAAGATTAGGTATTATTGCTCTTTTGTTTCCTTGTGTAATTAGTGTGTGTGTATTAGTAATTAGTGTTTATAATTGTGTGTATTTGTATACAATCTTCCTAAGTGAGCATATTGGCAGACTGTAAAGCTCACTTAGTGTGACGTAAATAAATAAATAAACAAACTATCATCCATAAAAAAATCTAGACGAGTGTGGCATCTAGTATTGAATAGAGTAAGTGAATGCCATAACATAGTTGCATGGTATCAAAGTTCAGACACGTTACTAACACTGTGTTGTAACTGGCGCTGGATAATTCTAGAAATTTTACATAAATTATATGCTCATATTTGTATACAGTGATGCTATTATTATTTATTATCTTTCTAGGAATAGCATTTGTCTCTGTAACTCGTCTGTAACTAACTGCTTTATTAGTTTCGAGTACCACGCTTGAAGCGTAGTAATCTTTACTTTAAAATTACATGATTTTTTTACTTTTATTCGAACGTGTAATACTGGTAGCTCACTGTACTATGATAAATAAATATAGAAAGAAAGAAGAAAGGAAATAAGTTATTTGGTACACACAACAATAACAGAAATATACTGAAGACTATGAAATAAAAATAAGTAAATATTACTAACTAATTAACGAATTAACGAAATATGGATATGTATATACAGTCGAAGTGGGAGCGAGAGGTATACAAACAAAAATTCTCTACAATGTTCTAAAAGATCTCGACCTGTTTAAAACTGTCTAAAACAGGCTTCTACGAGATTTGGCTGGACAGAGAAACACGAATTATGAAGGTGAGTGTTAACGTACGTAAAAGAGATCCCTTCAACCGACACTCGGGTCACATGTCCCGGGAACTGCTAGGAGTTTCCCTCTCTACCACAGGATAGATTTGGCACGCGCCTACAATCCATAGAACGCTAAAATGTTCGTTTCTCTCTCTTGTTCCTCAAAATTGGACGACCTCGGTGGTCTAGCGGTCTAGCATACCGCTTTACGACCGATGGTCGAGGGTTCGATTCCTCGCACGGCACAAACATTTGTATTCATCAGTATGATTGTTTGTATCGGTCTGGGTGTTTTCTATGTGTAATATGTATGTATTTACAAAACAAATCTATGTATACATATGTATCACTTAATAGTATGGGTATACCATAACACAAGCTTTAGCTAGCTTAACTTGGGTCTAGATGGTGCTGTGTGAATTGTCCTGAGATTATTATTATTATTATATAAAATATGAGTTCAATGGGTGCAACATAAAAGAAAATACTGTCGACACAAATAAGATAATTAATCTTATCTAGTTCTAATAAAGATACCAAGAAAAAATAAAATAACCCTGGACAATTTTGACCAATACCAATAATATATTCTACCATAATCCTAAATTATAGTATCTTTTTTATATATTAGTATTTAGAATTTAGTATAGTTCTATTATATTTTTATCTGTACTACAGTATTTTTTTTTTCGGACTACTCTAATGCTGTTGGTAGCAGCTGGCCTTTACAGCTTCACCGGACGTTAGGGGGCGAGTGTAGATGGCACTCCAAACCGGCTGAAGACCAAATCCCGCCTGACGGATTCGACTTTAGTCTGAGGGCACCACTAGGAGTTCGAACCTCGGCTCAGGGCGTCGTAATTTCGATCCCCGTTTGAATTGGACGGGGGATCGATCGGACAAACAGTTAGTTACCATTGTCTCATGCGGAATATAAAAGGGAAAATATGTTTTTTTTTAAAACGAAGGAGTAAATTCCGGACCATACAGTATAACCTGCGACTGTTCATTATTTGTAGGATTTTCTAGATTTCTGGATATATTTTTTAATTTTAATTTTCTTATCAATACATACCGCAGCGTTTCTTAATTGATTATTAAAAAAAAATCTAGTAAATTATTTAAATCATTATTAGTTTAAGTGATATATATAGACACTAGTGTGTGTATGTTTCCTAAATAGGTCAGTTTTATTAAATTTCGTTTAATAAATTTATCGCCACCCATAAATATTGTATCTCCTCACATTATCCTGTTGGCAGCGAGTTATCTAATCGTCGGAAGACGTCGAGCAATGTCCATCGACCAAATTAGCGATACTCTCCAGAGGTCAAATGTACTGTTTGATACCGAGGGGCGAGTACTGATGTCTCAGAGTAGTTAGACGAGCTTAGAAATTACACCAGTCACGAGTGAGTACCAATACTTTCTTTTCTTACTAAAGGGACAT